TTTGGTAAAAAGTGATATTTTCGACTTCTTGTTAAAACTCAAGTCAATTGCTTTGATATTACATATATAGGTACTACATGTGGACCTCTCTCAGATTTGTTCATTTCATGATGATATCTTTAATTCTTTAATTTTGATGAATATTTTTGTAATTTTGGTAAAAAGTGATATTTTCGACTTCTTGTTGAAAACCGCAAGTCCAATTACTTTGATATATTATACATATAGGTACTACATGTGGACCTCTCTCAGATTTGTTCATTTTCTAATGATATCTTCTGTTCTTTAATTGCCATGTGCATTGCTAACAGCGGAGCTATCTCAGCCGACAGGCTGCTTGTTAATATCTTAATGGGCAAGTTTTATGCTATGTTTTAAATTTTGTGTCTGTAAACTACTTTATTTTAACTTGGAATATATTTATTTTAAGAAATGAATCAGTAAAAAGAAAATCCAGTGAAAATTTTCCTATATTTTACATTCAACTCATTAAAAATTATTAAAAATAAACTTTATACAAAACAGCCAAAATGTCTTTTCAGTGAAATTCAGTGTAATTCCAGCTAAAATAAAGTATTTTACAGTATTGATTAAGTCAGTGTATTACAACACTTGAGTTGGTGTGACAACTGCATTTAGTGGTTCACTTGTTATTATGACATTGTTAAATTGGTTCTCCAATAACAATGAGACCATAGACATTAGTGGGTTTAAATAGTGAATGAACATTTGTAGACCAAGCTATCACAGAGTAATAATGTTTTATTTCCAGCATACAGTAGCACATATACCAGCATGATCAACTTTTTAGCTTCGCTGTCGACTTTGTCGAGCAAAGCTTATCATATGAGTGATTGTTCGTCGTCCGTGTCAATGTTTTACTTTTTCGACTTCTTCTTGAAAACTACAAGCCTGAATGATTTGATACTTGGTGTATATGTACCTTGGGTAGACCTCTCTTAGATTTGTTAATTTCATGGTGATATCTTCAATTCTCTAATTTTGGTGAATATTTTTGTCATTTTTGCTAAAAAGTGATATTTTTGACTTCTTGTTAAAAACCGCAAGTGCAATTGCTTTGATACTACTTATATAGGTAAT